TTCTTATTTTTTTACTTTTTATTATCATTTTTTTTTTTTTTTAATTTTTTACTTTATATACTTTTATTTTTTTTGTACTTTTTATTATTTTTTCACTTTTCATATTTTATTAATTTTCTATTTTTATTTACTTATTTTTGGTTAATTTTTCTTATTTTCTTTCAAGATTTTTTTAATTGTTTTTACTACCTATTTTTTTACTCTTTATTGTTTTTTTTTAGTTTTTATCATTTTCTTACTTTTAATAATTTTAATATTTTTTTACTTTTATTAAATTTTTTTTTGTATTTTTTTTCATATATTTTTTAACATCTTTTGAATTTTTTTTCGCTTGTTTAAGTATTTTGTTTATTTTTTATAATGCTTGAGCTCTTCAAAGCGAGTTCAAAATGTAAATGAGCGGTAATTAGGCAAATTTTTCACACTATCATAAAATCAAAATTTCAAAAATTAGAATAAAGAAAAAACTAAAAAAAGAATATAGCGCCGTAGAAATAGGGCAAACTTTAGACAAATAAAAGAAAATTACTTGCAAACTTTTCAAGACGAACCAAATGTACATATTGACCAAAGTAAACAAAAAAGTTGCAAGTCGATTTTATTTACTCATACACATATTTACACAGAATTTGTTGTTTAAATTTTCACACCTGTCAGATTTTCTTTTATTATAAACAATAGCGATTTAGTACAAACTTATATGGCAAATGCTTTTTGCATAATCGAAATTAACAGAACCACCACAAACCAGGCTACACATTGAAAAAAAAACTATAAAGGAAGAGTCAGTTTGAGTTTGAGGCTAAGAAATGAAATTAGATGCCCGAGTTGTTTGTGATTATTTAGTGATTGTATTACTTACACAAACTTAGTACCCTGAATATTTAGTAGAGATACAATGAATTGAGCTGGAGTATGCGAATGAATAATTTCAATATTTTTAACTGTGCCACAGAAAACGAGATTATTCAAAAATTACAGTTTATATTTCTATAAAATATTTATTTAGTTTCGATAGCGATATAAATTACAACAGGTTTTAATTTTTTTTTTTATTATGAATTATGATTTCGAATTCTGAGTTTCGCTGGAACCGCTCGATTTTTACACGTACATTATATTAATACATATATTTACACTTCGAAATTTACTTATTCTAAATTTTTATTTTAATTTCAAGGCATGTGTACTTAGTATACATATCTGGGTATGTTTGTATGCTTATAAGCTTACACAGTTCGCGTGCGAAACTATCAATAGTAAAAAAGGAAAAACACAAACAAAAATATATATATGTATAATTTATTATACAACAGTGCCGTCTACTGCATCTAGATACATTCATATGTACATTTGTGCGCATGTATGTATGTACGTACATATACATACATACATATGTATAACACTATGCATATACTAAACGGCCCACGCTTGTCAAGTCGAAGTGGCCTACTCGCAAAATATACAAAAACATAAGAATTGAAAAAGGAACAATTCAAAAAGACTTAATGTGAAGATAAGAAACTGAAGCAAAACGTGAGACTTCAAATAAATTAATAGACAAGGCGATTGCTGGGGCGATTCCACCACATACCTACAATTCTGTTGGGCGAACAGGTCCGTATACAAATTAAAAAAAAAAAACTGTCTGCCAATCTATTTTCAACTATTTTTGCTTCAGTATAAAAATAATTTTTTTTTTTAAATTAAATGTTTAGCAGTAAATGTATACATGCATATGTATGTACATACTTATCTTTAGCCGACTTGCCTGTTGATAAATTGCAAGTCCTGTTGGAGGAAATCGATGAAAATACAAACTAATTAAAAGAAAACTCACAACAAAAATCGAAAAGGCAAGAAAATAAGGTAATTTCATAATGTACTATGTGTGTATGTACATATGTACCTATTCTTGTCTACATACATATGTGTATGTTTATACGTAATAAAGTTTAGTTATTAAGACATACGGCAAAAGGGAGAATGCCTGAGGGCGATGACATTAACAACACACTATTTTTGAGTCTCAACCTAAACGTAAAAGGGGATACACGCATTTAGCTAGTAGATATGCAAGAAAACAAAGATACATATATGTTCGTTTAATAAATAAAAATTAAAAAAATATTATAATTGGAGTTTCTCTTGAGAATAATTTTTTGGATTTTAAATAACATGAATTGTAGGCAATAACTCATATTTGTATATACATATGTATGTACATATAAAAATGTCCATGAAATGGATTTTAATAAATTTCATATTTTCATTTTTTTTTGTTTTTTGGAATATTTTAATTCGAGCATTTGCTTACAACTTATGAATAAATATACATTTTTAAAAACTTTCACTTGTTACCATATGAATACATACAAATATACATATTTATATATGTTTGCATTCATGACTGCACTTTTCACTTCAAATTCACTTCTAAAAAAAACGGGTCAACTCAATTCAAAGGAAATGGTCCAAATTACTGATATTAAAAAAAAAAATACTACAGATTAAAACAAACCTCAATTTAGGCTATAAAACACACAACACTTAACTTCCTCAATATATACAAATATTAAGATTTTCAAGTGCACTTGCGCATAAATAATTTGAAAAGTGCAATTAAACGGAACGACAAATGGAGTTGCTATGAAGTTCCGCGGAGTAAAACTAATATACACACATATATATACATATGTTTGTGCATGCATATGAAACTTACGCAAATGCAACCCCAAAAGGGGGTGTAACATCGTCGTAGTGCGTAGTGTTGCCCAATTGTCTAGCAAGATATCTAGTAGGTCAGTTGCTTTGATCCATAGAAATTGAATTTTTAAAAGCCGAATTTCGCTCAGATTACAAGTTTCAAAATAGTACTAAGAAACATTTACTAAATTTATTATCAGAGCTTATTTTTTTTTTAAATAAAATTCACATAACTGTTTGCACGATAGACAATACCTATGTGTTATTATTATTGCCTATTCTTTCTTTCAGGGTGCAATGGCATCACTGGAGTTTTTCCTATGCAGAAATTTCAACAATAAACAATAAAGTGGAGTTGTCCAATCCAAAAATTCACCCCAAGGATAACAGACACGAATGAGGGAAAAAGCTTTCAGACAAAATACATACAGAAATACATATATGTACATATATGCATGTGTGCAATGTGTAGACAAATAATGCACTGTCAAATAAATATGTATGTGATATACACATATGCTCATAAATTTCACGTCAAAAGGCTTCAAAGGATTTTTAAAAATAAAAACAAAATTTCATATAAGTATGTAAAAAATATATGTAAATGACTTGATTGGACTTGGTATTCTAATTGGAATTTGGTTACTCCTTTCTGATAAGTCCAATACAATACTTTCACTTTATATTGTTGTAGGTACCTGGCAATGCTGTATGTTTTGTTGTCTCGTCCTGTTCGGTCTTTTTGATTTGATTTTGATTGTTTTGGCGATTCCGGTGTTACATGTTGTTGTTATTGGAGCTGTATCCTTTTACAAAGCACAAAATAATGCACACACACTTAATACAAGACTAAAGCCGAAAAATCTCGATTTTTTGAACGATAAAGTAGATATGTATGTGCAACAAAGCGTCTGATCTAGGATTACGATGATAAACCGTTTAAAAAGATATTACTTTCAGACTATATTTCACCGTAATCTCAAACACTTTTCACTGTTTACATGTTGTAACATCACTAATGAGCAGTGAATTAAATTATATTTTTTACTTAGGGAGAGTTTGTCTCAATAAGATCGGTTACATATACATATTCTAATTAGCAAATATTTATGCAGACAATATTTTCCATACAAATAGAGAAATCTGGAATTTCGGGATCGAATATTCATTCAGCCACGACACATATTTTATATTATTTTTTCCCCAAATAAATCGGTTAGTGTGTACCAACCATTAATCAATCAATTCCTTTATTTATTTCCGATTGCATTAAACACTTTTCCTTCTTTATTTCACTTTGTATCTAATATTCGTAACGCAAAGAAAAAAATCAACCGATAACGGAACCGCAAATGCAACGACCGCGCACAGCTGCCATTTTACGAATAACAATCGGCTACTGCATTGAAAAGGCATATGCCAAAATCGGTGCCGACGCTTCGCATGGTTGCAATATAAAGTTATAAGTAAAAGAATTTTATGACACAAAATATTTGATTATAAGAAAAATGTTTACATTTTAAAATGACATTATAATAAGCATTGTAAATTCGAAATTTATTTTTTGACTTTTCTTTTATTCATGCGAAAAGTTATTTCAATCAGGTCATAATGCTTTATATTTTTTGAAAAATATGGCAGCTAATTTGGGGATATTTCCCAACACAGTGGAATTGAAACAGTGCACCTGAATGCTGCCACTCTTTGCTTTTTCGAACTTACGTCCAATCGTATCTCAGGTTCGTAATCGAAGTTTGAACTTGATTATACGAGGAATTTTGGGTTCTATATTTCAGAGCGAAATTCCGCTCGGGAAAATTCCCTTAAGGTGCTACTTGGCGTTAGTTCTTTTTTAGGGTTTTTACTTCAATCAGCTTTAAAACCTAAGTTATGCCTGTTAATAAATTTAATTTTTTTGGTCTAGAGGAAGATATGTATAAAACGCTATAATGCACCTAGAATTGCGAGAAAGTAATATATTCCGGAAGCTCTACCCGGATGAAATTGATGGTTTCGTTTAACTTCAATTTTTGGGCAGAGCTCTGATGTATTTCGCTAATTTGCATTTTAAGCTCATCCAGGAAAAGTACATTAAAGAGAAGGATCAGGGCGTACGGATTGTTCCACCTACGGTATTGCTAAGAGACTTTTTCATCTTTTTACGATATTAGTAAGAGACTATTTCACCACTAGTTGACAGCGAACTACCAGACACTGAGAAATTATTTATAGAAGAATGATATTTGAGAGGCATTTTTTTAAATTTATTTGACGTTCTCCGAAAGAATGTCAGAATCCGATTAATTTCACAAATGGTCGATCGTGGGTTCAATACGAAAAATTTAATTATCTGGCAACTAAACTTCTTGTTGTCTGCATGGTTCTCCTTTACGTTACCTCAGTGACAGCAACAACAACTGCAACAGGGAATATTGCAAATAAAACTTAATAACTGCGACGACAGCAACGCAATTGGTAGAAATTAATGTGAACTATTAAATCTTAAAAAGTAAATCCAAAAAACTGGCGTTGTGAATATTTACTTATAGTGCAAAACAACAAATAATGTAGCCGCGTTAACTAGAAAGTTTTCTTAGCACAGACGAAAAAAGAAGCAAAGTACAAAAAGAGCGTTTTTCGGTTGAATAAGCAACTTTTTTTTTAAATTGATAGAAATGGATGGAGGGAACCAACAACCGATCCAGCTTTCACGTAAATGTTACCCATATCCATTGCTACGGAATGTACATAAAAGCTTGCCACCGCCAACAGCAACTACTGGAGCGGAGAATCGATGCGTCACTTTGTATACGGAAGGGGATTTCTTATACTTCCATTACGATTGCGACGGCTACAAGGACAATGGTTGGGGCTGTGCCTATCGTACACTACAAACCCTTTGCTCTTGGATTGCTGGTAAACGTTGTGATACCGATTTTGACACTAAAGTGCCATCCATCTTAGAAATACAACAAACACTTGTAAATACTGGAGATAAAACAAATGATTTTGTTGGCTCACATGATTGGATTGGCGCTATTGAAATATTCTATGCCTTGGATACACTTTACGACGTTGTTTGCAAAATCATACACATTGCACATCATGATGATTTGAAGAGATATGCCAACGTATTAAAGAAATATTTCGAAGACTTTGGTGGAATCATTATGATGGGCGGCGATATGGATGCTGCCTCAAAAGGCATTGCGGGCATACATATTAACGGCAATCAAGTTTATCTTCTAGTCATTGTGAGTAAAATAATATTCTATAATTCTACCTATATTGATTTTTCAAAGTAAATAGTTGTAGCGTGTTGTTATGATGATGTTTAAAACACAAATAATTTATGACCTGCAACTGGTTAACAGGTGGTTTTGATCGCATTGCATGGTTGCCAAACTGAATTTTTTTTTATTATTTTTGTCAAGTTTGTTGTGAACGCAACAATTCGTGTGTAAAATGCTTGCACAACATTTGTTACAAATGCATAATTTAAGTAACGCAGCTGAAATAATTGTCTTCGTGATCAAAGTCGAAAATAATTACTTAGTAAATTAAGCAGTCGTTTTTTTCATGTCAATATTTTTCCGTTTGCCAGTGCATGCCAAAACATACTGTTTGTGTGTTAGGTAAGAAATTCATAAATATTCTAAGTAATTATTTGTTTTATTTTTCACTTACAGGATCCCCACTTCGTCGGTGTTCCCGAATCTGTGCAAGAACTAGTTGAACGCGGCTACATACGTTGGCAGCATACATCGGAATTTGTTGATAGTTCCTTCTATAATATTTGTTTACCCCAAATATAATCAAATGATGCCAAATACACATAAAATAATCTGATCTTTCGTACATACATATATACTTATTGTATACTTGTACATACATGTATTAATCATTTGTTAACTGTTCAAATTTTATGACACCATATTAAACTGTTCAAATATAATATATTAAATGTTTATCAAATCTCCATTAATTTCATTACAGCTGCTTTTAAAAGGCTAAATATATCTAAATACATAATAATACTATTTTCAAAAACACCTTTTGCATTTTTTGCTTTGGAAGGAACTATCAACATTACGTAAAAGATAACATATTTTTAATTTTCTACCATTTCAATACACATAATCATTTCTACGTTTAGAAAAGACTTGCGCCATAATCACTGATAACGCTCTAATTCATTAGAAATTGGAAATTTGTAAAGCATGTCTGTTATAGCCGTTTATCGCCCCTTCACAGTCAGCGCTTGCTGATTGCACCTGTGCCACCGTTGCTACGGAGTTAAATTTGCGCAATTATAATAAACAAAAACAAAAGACATTATTCGTCATGTAAAAATTTACAAAACCGTTTAATATTTGAATATTTGATTACCTATACATCACACTAAATCCTAAAGCAAGGTGTATAATATTCTCATAATGGATCTCCTCCACCGATTGCTGTACACTGCAATAAGTGCTGCCTCAATTATATATTTCATCGTGAAAACAAGTCTATCGCATTGGAAGCGTCGTGGTATTTTACATGAGAAACCGAAATTCTTAGTTGGCAATTTAGGTGGTGTTGGTGGCAAACGCCATATAAGCACTCTGCTGGAACAACTCTACGAAAAGTACAAAGGTCAGGCGCCCTTCATAGGCTGCTATGCATACTTGAAGCCAATGGTCTTAGTATTGGACTTGGAATTGGTGCAAAACGTGCTGGTGAATCATGCCGACCACTTCAAGGAACGTGGCGTGTTTGGTAATGCGCCGCATGATCCGCTCTCCGCCAATTTACTGCAGCAGGATGGTGCAGACTGGCAACGTTTGAATACCGTTGTGTGCCCAGCCTTTGTAGACGAGAATATTTCTCAGATGTTACCCACTTTGGAGCGGGTCGCGCACACAATGCATCGTTCTTTGGCACTGTCGGCGGATACGAATGCAATAGCTGTAAATAATTTGGTAGATTGTTACAATATTGATGTCATATCGACCTTGGCATTCGGCGTTAGCGGTGAAACGCTACTGAACTCCGATACGGAATTCCGTCGTATGGCGCGTAGTTACCTCAAAGACTTTAATATGTTCCGACTCTATTTCCTTATGTACTTCCCGAATGTTGCACGCTTGTTGCGTTATAAAAACTACGAACAAGCTGCGACTGATTATTTCTTAAAGCTTGTGCGTCAGAAACTTTTTGAGCAAGAGTGGAGTCGTTTGGATAAGGGAAATAGCTTCTTTCATATGTTTGCCGAATTGAAGCGACATCGAGAGGCGTCGAAACGTTTGAGTGACGAAGAAATAGCGGCACAGGCCTTTTCATTTATTTTAATGGGATTGGAGACATGTAACTCGGCGATGGCTTTCTGCTTGTATGAACTAGCGCTGCAGCCGGAACTGCAGCAGCGGGTGCGAGTAGAAATAAGCGAAACGCTAAAACGAAGCGAAAATGGTTTGGATAAAAAGAGCTTGAAGTCCATGCATTTGCTCAGGCAGTGTTTGTACGGTGAGTAATCTATAAAATACTATACGACATATTACTAAGTATTAACCGATTTACGCTTTATATCAATAATTATGATTTTTCTTTGTAGAAACACTACGCAAACACACACCCTATGCCTTCTTGTTACGCAATACTAATAAGGATTACGAAATACCCAATTCTGTTTTTATGCTGCAAACAGACAATCATCTAGTCATCCCAATAGCGGCAATACACCGTGATCCAGCGCTTTATCCAGAGCCAAATAAATTCAGTCCCGAACGTTTTACTGAGGAAAACATCAAGCGTCGCCATCCAATGGCTTACATACCATACGGAGCTGGCTCCCGCTACTGCCTGGCAAAGCAATTCGCCGAAATGCAAATGCTAGTTGGCCTCGCGACTCTGTTGCGCGACTACAGTTTCAGTCCATGCCGTGAAACTCCAATTCCACTGGTTTACGACAACAAACGTTTAGTACTTAGTCCAAAGGGAAATTTAATATTGAAGTTTCAACGAGTATAAGGCGTAAGACAAGTGCGACTTAAAAAAAAAAAACAAAAATTAGACATTCTTCGCACACAATTAACAGTTGTGCATAAAATTATAAAATGTAGATCTTATTTTCGCTCTTAAATTTATTGAACTTTTGATGTACAATGATTCCGCTTTATTGATTTGAAAACATTTTTTTTTCTCTGTACAAATATTTCCTTAACCAACCATTTGACCACGATTTACGATTACGGATTTTTAGAGTACGATATATTTTGAAATACTTTTTCTTTCTCATGTTTTAAGATATACACTTCAGTATAAAAATTAATATATTATACATATACATATTTACAAATGCAAAACAAACTGCAACTGCTGCGTCCGTAAAAATTTGCTTTGCTGCTTGTGTATGAAAACGCTCTACATTATAAGTTATTCTTTATATACAAATATTTTTTTTTTGTTATTTGTTCAACACAAATGGGGAAGCACATTGAAGACACGAACAAAAATATATGCTAATTAAATATATAAAACAAAAACTTGAGTCTATTTTATAAAACTTTTGCCAGGAGCTTGTGATATAAATTATTTATTGTATTTTATATGAAGTCTTGATATTTGAGTACCTTTCTTGATGTGCCTTGGGATGCTCCCAATTCAGCAAGTGGAGACATACAGCTGAGAGGAAGACGACACAACCATCAGCCAAAAAGTTATCAGTCAAGAAACAAATGAAGCGCCGACTACATGCAGAGCTTAAGACTTCACAGCAAGTCGACCCTTCTGAAAAGTCAGACATTTGAGTGAAGATGGACAGTGAGCGGTACGGCAGAGGGAAGAAGCGTGGTTCAGTGTCAGGAGCGTTTACGAATTGTATTACAAAATAAGGAATCATGGTAAGGTACATCTATTTTCTAATAAGCCTGGTCGTGTCCACCTTTCGTTTATATAGTTATTGTTGCTTGGGTCTACGCTGCAAATCCTGAAGACGTGAACTATCCTTATGGAAGTTGCTCTAACCAACACCGTGTTGAGCCCTGAGTCCATGCTCGATAAAGAAGCGAAGCAAATGGGTCTGGTAGTGAATGAGGGCAAGACGAAATATCTCCTGCCAACACACAAACAGTCATCGCATTCGCGACTCGGCTCCCACGTCACTGTTGACAGTCATAATTTTGAAGTCGTAGATAACTTCGTCTATTTAGGAACCAGTATTAACGCCAACAACAATATGTGACTAGTCGGCCTTAGGAGTTTTCGAGAGAAAGCTTTTGCGTAAGATTTATGATCCTTCGCGCGTTGGCAACGTTTTTATGAAGAATTTAGTAATATTTTCTTCACTGAGCTTACAAATACTCCGGGAACCCAGAACTGCAAATGGAGAGAGTGAAGATCTGGGAAGGCTCGAAAAGATTGAGAGTGAAGAAGCGTGCTAACACTAAGTCTACATAGCTTGCGTATATTCCACACCACGAAAGTTGAAGAAAACGGTCAACATGACCTTGATGTTTGAGCGACTTTGACGTGATTTTTTCGGTCTTGCCTAATCTTGAAGTCTCGTCTTTGTACCACTTATACACGTTCTTCTACGACATTGTTGAGTCCCCAAGGGCTTTCTATAGCACCCACAATGTTTCAGCAGACGAAAATTGGTTCCGCAAACAAAATATGATCTCAAATCTGAACCGATCTCATATCTGAAGCGATTGGTTTAGATATGAGTATTAATGTTTAATCCATGAATTAAATAACATAAATTTGACATGGTCACGGAGGGTAGAAAGACTTCAAGAAAGTGGAGCTTTCTTGTTTTTTCTCATTTGTACTCATCCCACCAGTCAGGGTTTTGAAGGCAGAAAAAAACAGGTTTCTACAGATTTTTTTTGGGCGTACGGTGAAAGTAAATTTATTTCTGATTATTGTACATTAAAGAGTTGTAATTGAACTATATTCTGTGAAATATTGGTTGGAAAATTTTGACAATTGACCGAATGGCAGCAATTTATCGCAGGCGCCTCAGAAAAAATACATTTTGCGGTGCACGTCATACCTCAGCACTGGATCATCTGAAATGAAATAATCAAAGTTTTTCTATCAATTTTTATGTCCCTCTAGGTATCCCTGTCGAGTTTTTCCATTTTTTTTTTTAAATTTTTGAACTTTTTACAAGACTTGAAAGTGAAAATACCGATTTTTGGTCAAAGTTCATGACTATTGTTGTTAATAATAAAAAAATTAAAATAAAAACGAAAAAATCTCGACAGGGTTACGTCATAAATTATGTAAGGAAATACTGTAAAAAATTTGATAACGATCGGTTGAATAGTTTCTGAGATACAGAGTGCACCGACTCAAAAAACATCGATTTGAGAAAAACGCGTTTATTCGGTCAATTTTCAATATTTTTCAACCAATATTTCACAGAATATAGTTCAATTACTACTCCTTAATGTACAATAATCACAAATAAATTTACTTTCACCGTACGCCCAAAAAAAAATCTGTAGAAACCTGTTTTTTTCTGCCTTCAAAACCCTACCCCCCCCGAAGAGAAGACCCCAGCGTTCCGTGAGAGAGCAATAACAAAAACGATCAAACACTTTTTCCAAACAATTTTATTTATCATTAAATTGTAATAATTGTAGATCATTAGAAACAAAAGTGATTTTACGTAACATTTTAGGGCTGCATTGCATTTTTAATATTTTCATTTGATATTTTTATTTTGTTTTTTTTTTTTAATTATAAATTGTTTACCTAATACATGCGTACGCATGCGCATGTTCATACTGGTATTTGAAATAATCATAGTACACTATTTAGGCATATATATTTATGTATGCTTGTAAGTTTAACTTGCGGTAAGAATTCATATTTAATAATTACAATAAATCTCCGGCGCTTAAACAGAGGAGTTTCAGAGTAAATCATAAATTATAGTTTACAAATAAACGAGTTAAGTGCTTCTTATTGTGCAAAATGAGAAGAGTTATTGTTGTTTGTAGCAAAAAACGGCACATTTGTGTAGAGTGCAGTACAAAGGTGATTCAAAAATAGTTTTCAGTGTCTAGAAGAAAAAAAATAGACTTTTGCAGCATTTATTGTGTAGGATTATGTATTATAGTCTTTGTTTTTTCTTGGCTTCTTAATAAATTGAGTTGGAATAATTGTAGTAGTTAGTGTTCGTTTATATTATATATGCATGTATGTATGTATCATATGTAGATTAAGTGCAAACGTTTGTAGTGATTGCAATAGTTTTAATTTTTTCGATTTTTTACATGCGAAAGGATTTTCGTTTGCAATTTTGCTTTGTTTGTATTTTTCGTCTTCTTCTTCTTCTTCTTTTTCACTTTGTGTTTTAACATTTTATACTCGCTTTTCTTGTTTTTGTGGTTGTTGTTTTAACTATTAATATATTTATTATTTTTGTTAACTTTGTGGATATTCTTAGAATATATCAATGTATGTACATTATATAAATGAATTTATTAAATTTTTAGTAAATCTTTTACGATTAATCGCAAAATAAGTGGGTATACGGTTATATAATTGTGTGTGTGTGTGTGTGTGCAGAAAAATTAAATAAAATTTTTAAATTGCCATAAGAGTTGTGTGCTCTCAATGTTATTAACATTTTTTTTGGTGTTTTAACATATTTCATGTCATGAATTTATATTGGGTTAATAGTGAAAAATATGAATAATAATGACAGGCAGACAGAAGAAAAATCATAAGTGAAATGTAGAAAGGCACTGAATACCAAAGTACCAGAAGTAAAATGTGTATATTTAAAGTTCTTAAGCGAAAAAATTTACGATTTTAGGAAAAAAAAAGTTTAAAATAAAATTTCATAAATAACCTAAAATTTCGTAGCATTTTAAAATACAGCAAAACGTTTAATTTTTTTAAATTACAATTAAGATATGAATATTGAAGTCGATTGAATTTTTGCCTAACCAAACTTGAGCCACACATAACCAACGTATATCCTGCATACAATAGGGTCTCGATTGACGCTAACCACCTCTCCTTATTTGTTTCTTAACTTCTACTCAGCTAAGCTGAGTCCTGAGTTCTGGTCCGGACCAATCGAAACAGCTCGTTTCCTGGACCGGCATTAAATGACTGCGATTACTGATCTTGACTGCTCCTAATCGGTGCAAAACCAACAACAAGCGGTGCTTACTACAATGTGAAAAGTCCTGGACTCTAATTCCGATCGGAGCAGCATCCAATTTTATAGTAAAAAAAAAACAAATACAATTTTTCTTCTGAATGCGGTCGCTGCTTGTCAGACATGTCATAAAAAACTCCTCTTGAAAATTCAGCAACCGCTCGGTGGCGGCATGAAAAAAATGTAGGTAGCTCAAACACTTTAGCGCGCTTAAAACATCAATTCTATACATATACATATGTTTATATAAATATATATTTTTCAATATGTACTCAAAATCAAAAAAAAAAAAAACACTTTCAACAAAGCTTTACTCAAAGACTTTCTACATTTCACAAATGGTATTTCATAAATTTTGCAAAAAAAAAAAAAATAAATAAATACATTGTCTTTTTTTCATAAATTTATTAGTGTTGTTGGTGGTGGGCAGCAAAAAGTTTTTTGTTTAAAGTTTGTTTAATAGAAAATTAAAGTTTAATTTTTATACAGTTTAAAGCTTAAGCGTAGAAAGGAGAAAAGGCATAATTTCGGTAGTTTAGCTGAAAACCATTTCACATTACATACATATACACATATTTGTAGCTAAATACCATTATGATTGTATACAATAATTGTGGTTGTTCTCTTATTCATGCTTGCTTAGTGCCATAGGCTGTAATTAATTTAACTTTTGATAATAGGATAAATAAAGTTTTATTCTGCTTGTCTAAAGACTAAATCTTGGGTTTTATTTTTTAATAAGTGATAAAATTAATTTATTTGAAGACATAATTTTTATACTAAATTTAAACACTATGCAAATGCGCACTAACTATTTTTTTGTATTTTTTTTTGTTTTAAATAAAAAAAAATCTCGTTTACGTCTTCTTCTTTTTGTTTTTTAATTTACAATACATTAGCGTAACTGAAAACGACGTGTTTAGTTAGCATATGTTTGTATGTTGTTTAGTTTATTTTCTAATGTTTTCTTTGATTTTCATATGAAAAATAGAATTGCTATATATAGTATGTATGTATGTATGTTTTAGTATGTATTATAGTCTATAAGCACTGTTGCTGGATTTTATAGTACAATATATCTATATATATATATATACTTTTACCCGCTTTCAACCAACAATCAACCCATTTAATTCATTTCGCTGTTAGATATTTCAATTACATTATGTATGTACTTATGTATGTGTATATATATATCAGCGCCGATATGAATTAGAACAAGTCATGCTTGTTGCACATATTCTTCTTATGCATAGTTAGTTTAGTTTTTTCTTTTATTATGTATTTCCATTTACTTCGTTTTACACTTTCTATTAAATGTATGTATGTATATTTTTTGCTTTATTGCATTTGACTTTTTTTGCACTTTTTTTTTCTTTGTTTTCAGCTTTAATTTCTACAGTTTATCTTAAAATGTCTTACGAGTGATATTAAATTGTTATTGTTGTTGTTGTTGTTGTTGTCATCAGATTGTTTGTTTCATCGATAAAGTAATTGTAAAATTGCATTCTCTTAAATATTTCTTATTTAATACGAGTTTTGTTTTAAATGTTCGTGCAACATTGGCTTAACCTCTACAGACACAGTTACATATTCACATACATATTTAAATAGCATGCATCGCCTACAACCGTTCGACCGCCACCGTCATCGCAACTCAACCATTTCCCACCCAATCCCGTCCATCGTTCGAATGCATATGCACATACACACACACACAAACGCTTGTGGTTTCACATGTACACACATACATAGCCAAACATATGCACATATGTATATGGTATGTAAAATACTGTCCAAAAGTGTTTGGATAACAGGAATATTGTACCTTAGAGCAACGTTCATTTCGTTCACTTTGCTCCCTTTAATGGTGTTTCCCTTTTTATTCGTTGTCCATTTGTGACATTCGCGTTGCATTGTGTTGCATTCGAAAGTGTTGGCATTATAATTTTAAAGATTTTTTTTTTGTTTTGCAACAAGCTTGACAATAGTGCTCAAAGGCTTCTTTTGCTGCTTTTGATATGAAAGTATGCTTGTGTGTCTATTTGCTTGACTCATCTTCACGAAACGGTATATTGCTACTTTTACGTTTATACCAGTTCAATAGTTTAGTTGTAATCTCATTCTTCTTCTTCCTCCACCTTATTTTAACTTGTCGCCGGAGTTTCGGTGCTTTGTGGTTGGTTGTCGATATTTCTTTATTATCTTTTGCTCTCCTTCTCTTGCTGATAAACACGCTGACTAAGTGGCTTGGTGTAGATCCAGTTTTCGCCGACGGGCCGGAAATACTGTAAAGTGGAAAAAAGATTGAAGGAATTTAATTAACATTTAGAATTCATTGCGTTACAACGGAAATCAGACTTTAATTCTTGTAAAGTAACAGAGGCCCAGTTCACATCCTTGCAGAGAAATGGAAATGGTATGCTCAAGGGTTTCCTTAAGAAATCAAGCGGTGAATCGGTGGGAGATTATGGGTAAGGGTTCTGAATGCACTGCCGTAGAGGCTTGGGATGTATTTGAGCGCTGACATCATGTGGGGGCCACTCCCTATGTGTCTTAAGTCCTGAGCAGAACTTAAGATGAATCCAACCATTGCACTGGTGCCATCTAACCGAAATGGAGGATTGGTGGAGTCGCTAGTGGCATACGCCGGATAAGTAATCCGTCGGACCAGAACGGGGTTACATAGAAACAGATCGTTTCCAGGATCTCCAGTTAGATGAAATTTATGGCTTAGACTGATTTGGCCTGCCCCTGAGCGGCGTTAGCCAGCTCAAACAACAACAACAACAGAGATATTATAGTATATTAGCGGCTCGTACGAGCGAAGGTATAGCTCCAGCACTGGCAGATGAACTCATCAGCTTATTAATTGCGCCAGTTATATATATTTGGATGGTTGGAAAGAAATTAATGCAGACCCTGACTTCTTTTTGACTTGAACTCCTTTCAGGACATGGGGCATACCCGAAAAATTCATTCGGCAATATGTCCCTGGCTAAGACACGCTACATATTCCTTCGCATGGCAATATGTTAACTACTCGGATACTGTGGCTGCCGGTATAGCAGAATAGATGATAGTGCAGACAAAGTTAGTTGATGACTTTGAATACTGGAAAAATGTTGGTTCGAGTCTGAATAGTTAGGACCTAAGTCTATTACAATATCCAGATCATTATTGTGTCATAAGAGGTGACTAAAATTCAATAGTTCTAGCGACAGTCGGGTCTTTATACCGGAACAACTCATATTTTTATCCGGCCAAGGCTGCCATTACCGCAACTTTTCCCAAAAAACGCCTTTGGGGAATATTTTGCGACTGAAACAATAACAACGTATAGTCTAGCACTTCCTTCCTGATGTAATTGGAGGCAGTTCTACTTCGAGCAGGTATCTGCTTTGTAATACCAAAGCAGATACTGTTTGCCAAGCATAGCTAGTCTCACATTGTCGATGGTACGCGGGCGATATTGGGATTTTTTTTGTTGTATGTCACTAATTTCTGACCGACCCGCCTTGTAAGTTGACCGCAAGGTGTCTGTATCTTTGCCCCTGCTGCTGTCGTCTAACTACTTTCGCTTCCTCTTAATTTGGCGAGAGAGCAGAAAGTGCAATCCACCCGCCTACAACAATTATAAATATAAAAAATATGTAAAATAGTATTTCCATTACCTTATGCTCCCACTGTGTTTCATTTTCTTTACGATTCTTCGCTTGGTCCCGCTGTATTTGCTCAACAGCACATTTTGCATTTGTGGCCTTTTCGATATCGTTAAATCTATGACAATTGAGACGAAAAAAAGAACGTAAATTAAAACAAATTTTTACATCAAAATAAAGTTGCTTTAAAAATTTCAAATCAACAAATGGATTTCATAAATAGTATGAAAACTTGGTTTTACTTGAGTCCCGCTGTCACTTCCTTCCAAACGCGTCTGGATTCATATTCTTCTTGTTCAACGATTGGTCGAACTTGTTTCTTAAATATTGGTATACGATTTACGTCTACGAATACTTCAGTTTTCTAGAAAATTAAAAATTAAACATTTTCGCATGTTTAAAATTTGATTCAATTGAAATTTCTTTCACAAATAACTGCAACATAACACATTCTTGTACATACTTATATGAATACATACATATGCCTAGATATTATACAATTTCTTGTTGGTTTTAGTTTTTGGTTAGTAAAGGAATTTGTTTTTTTTTTTGTTTTTGGAATGCATCAAATAAAATACAAAATTTTATATACAAGAACACCAATGCAATAGATAAAGATCTTAACGAAATACACATAATTATAAGAAAAATTTAATTTTCTAGAGCAACAAAGTAAACTGGATTAGTAACTGGCTCAAAATATTTAAGAGAGAAGTACAATAATCGTTTTGGTATTGTTTACTTTTGTTTTGGGGTGGACGGAGTATATTGTTCGAGAGAGAGAGAGAGCGATTGTAGGAAACTGAGTTATAAACATATAGATAGAAAATAAGTGTGGTTAGGAAATGTGTTATAACAGTACATAAATACAAAATTACAACTTGTTTTACTATAAAAAAAAACACACACACACAAGCATACTGAAACATCGAAAGTAGAAATAAGAAAACAGTTATTATTAATTGTGAAAGCATAAAATTTACATTTTTATCATGCCATTTGGCTTCCATCAGACCGCTCCACTCGCCAGCTATCGAGACAAATGGTTTCTTTTCATTTGGCGCATAAATCTGCAAGAGTAGAGTTTACCGAAAATATTATGTATTTTGCTTTTACTACTCGAGTTGTGTACAAACCTCTGCCGTCACTTTGTTGCGCTTGCCGCCATAAAATGGTTTTGTTAAAAACTCAATTGTGGCATGATAACCAGTCTGCGGGCAACGTATCTCCACAGTGCCACCCAATTCGATCCAAGGGACGGTTAAAATAGATCTGTATAGTGGTAAAGAAGATGTGCATGCGATATTTTTTAATTTTTTTTCTATTTGATTTTCTATACGTTCATACCTGCCATAGCCATTTGGAAATGTAACAATATATTCCTCACTATGTTCCACAAGTGTGACAATACCTTCACCGATATTGTGCACACCAATTGAGAGACCTAAGAATTTTGATTTAGTCCAAACATGCGCGGAAAATGTAATTTTCTTATTGACATGCTCAGCATAGAAGGCGGAAACTGCAAAAAGAATTTTTCATAGATAAATATTTTTAGCTTATAAATCGTTATGATAAATTTATATTTATTACTCACTTGGCGGATGATGCGAAACCTGTTCGGCCAAGAATGTCAGTTGATTTCGATGACACCATGGCACTGGGCCATCATTGACTACATTTTCGTCGGGTGTTTCGTCTGAAATAGAAAGTTTTTTAAGCTTTTATGAAATCAAAAGGTTGTTAGAGCTGTAGTAGGTGGGTAAAACTATATGGAGAGAGTTGAAAATAAGGCAGGTTAAAGGAGTTTAAAGCTTAATCCACCGGAATTTGGGTGCAATGTGAAGTCCGGCGGAAAAAAAAAATCAGACTTTATACAAGAACGAACCGCATTTTTAACCGGCCAAGGTCTGTAACTATCGCAACATTTCCCAATAACCATTTTGGAAGTATTTTTTGCGGCTACAAAAACAAAAATAACTATCGAAGTTGTTATATGATACAAATCCACTTTTTACTCTGCAGTAAAATAATGATTTTTAAAAGCAAAGCAAATCAAATTGTATTTAAACAATCCTTACAGAGCAGCTCTTTCCCATTTTAAGCTTATTAAAAATAATATTAGGCGACAAGTTGGATTACAGAAATGTTCACATTAGACAATCATACAGTTTCTTTGCAAAAGTCGTTTAGATTTATACCTGGCAAATCCCAATAGCACTGGAATACCTCACCCAATATGGGATTATAAGGTTTTTTGGCAACAGCGCTCTTACGTCCGGCATGATAGGCACTCAGATACCAACGACAAGTTTCTACAATACGCTCACGTGGTGTTTCCATCTCAGCAATTCTACAAAGAATCAAAATAAAAATGAAAATTAAATGTTATTATATTAAAAATACAAAAAAATACCTTAGAAAAAGATCTGGATGCGCAAAGTAATCTGCATACATCTCCAGCAAAGAGCGTCGTTCCAATATAAATGTCGGCAATACGACTTTCGTCAAGTCCATGCCGATTTTGACTTGTGATATTAGATGGGAAATCATTGAACCATGCGCCTCCATACTAATTGTCGAGTCTTCTTCCTCCTCGTAGAGTGCATCATAATCGATGGCATCATCCTCACCATATTTCTGGAATGTTTTATCGATACTTAGTCGTGGCGCTGCTGCTGATCCTGTTGCACTTGTCGGCGAACCGGCATTCAAACTCTCCGAAACCGCTGTCAACGCATTCTGATAATCATCCTGTCGATCAACAATGGATGATTTGGCGCTGGCATCCAATGAGGCGCCGCCACCTTTTGACGGTAGTGTGTCCGCTGCATTCTCATATGTTGGCGATGATGTTTCCACTGAAAAGCCACGCGTGGCGCTGGAAATAAAACGAAAAAAAGCAATAGATATGAGAATAGTTTTTTTTTTTTGTAAATTAAAAACTTTAAATGGATATTTTTTGTTTTAAGTTTTCTACAAATAATGGAAAATTCTTGAAAAAATTTGTTCATCGATGACAACTTCTTATTAGGCGAAAGTTTTGGGGAATAAGAAGTGGAAGTAAAAAAAAAAATATTTTTCCTTTCGATTTATTCACCTACAAGGTGGATACATTTTTCAGATCTTTCCATTTATTTATTTATTTCCTCATAAAACAAGCCGAAACTGTCTACCTGACTTCATCATCGGTGCCTCAGCTTTTTTTTAATTTTTGAAAAGAGGTAATAATCGCTCGCGCCAGGGCTGGGCTGTATGGTGGGTGATTCAAAAAATATCAAAATCCACCTTAAACAGACCAGGTAACGCTAAGCGGCTCCTGTGTATTTGTATTTCTCATCGATCAATAATATCCCTTCCGAGTACCAAACGGCTGTCGCTATCAGTTTGCCAGACGACTAAGACAAATTCCTGAAATCCCTGTTTTTTGCCACTGCATGAAGTCTTCTTTCGACTCAGATTCATAATGAAGAGCCCAAGTTTTGTCTTCAGTGACATTTCGATTCAATACATTATCCTATTCTTCATTACAGAGGTCTGAAAATGCACGCGAACAGTCTACGCACTGTTTTTTTTTTGCGGAAGCGTGAGCATTCACGGCATCCAGCTTGCGTTGATCTTAGTCATGCCAAGATGATCGTGCAAGATTTTAAAAAATATTTTATTGGATACTGTAACCATTTCAACGAGTTGTTTCTTCTTTAGTCGAGCATTGTCGGGGACAATTTTTGAACTTTTGGATAAGTTCAGGCGCTCCTCGATGCACTTGACCAGCCTCAGGTCCTCTTCAAGGAAATCCCTTCCTTATTTTATAAAATTAAGCCACATTATGGTTTTTGCCGGAGAACAGCCGCGGCCAGTCATTGAGATCTCATTCATTATGGTGAAAATTGATTTTCGTTGGCACGATATTGGATTTTTTTCCTTATCTCACTTGCTTGTGTGACTAAAACTCAAGGGCTAAAAGCTTAATAACAAAGAAACCTCGCTCTTATACTAACTATAAGTCACTGAACACGCTACGATCCTGAGCTTAATAACCAATCTACAACCTTCTCATTCAACGAACATAAAAACGCTCACTTGTAGCACTGCGGTTTGTCAGGGCGTATGAGTGATATTTCTTGAGTCTTCGCTACACAGTTAAACGGTTTTTTTTTATATTTTTACTTATTAGAGTAACTTCAAATATTCATAGCTTCTTTATATTTTAAGACTCCATCTCAGAAAAATGATCAGTTCAAAGGTAATTTTTTCCCCTTTACGCTGAAAATAGTTTAACGAAAAAATGCGAATATTTTTTGGTTACGAAAACTAAGTCTTTGAGAAAAATATTCTATATGAAATTTTTAGACTTTAGTGACTTTGATGAGCATGAAGATAAATCATGTACCCCATCAATTTCAGTCAATTTAGTCATCGGGAGAATATCAGTCTCTAAAAACAAATTTTTTTGTTCATTACAATTTTTTGTATTTCAATTTGTGAACGTGAAAAATAAAAAAAAAATGTTTTTATTTTGATTTTTTAATTTTTTTTTTTCAAATAATTTTTTTTTTCAAATAATTTTTTTTTTCAAATAATTTTTTTGTTTCAAATCTTTTTAACTTGATTTCTAATTTAAATTTTTTTTTTTGCAATAATTCACTACTGATAATGATTTCAAAAAACAACCTCACTATATGCAGAGTACGCGCATATTTTACGGCGCTTTTAAATATTTACAAAGAGTGAAGGCATGCAACAAAAGGCGGATTACATATGTATGTATGTATGTATATACATGCACATGTTCATAGTTGTGTATGAATTTGTCATAAACGACATTACAGCATAGTTGTAATGAAGAAAACGGGTGAAGGCCGTGCACAAAAAAAAAAAAAAAATAAAAAAATAAAAAATAAAAAAATAAAAAAGAATAAATAAGTTCTTTGCACGCTCAAATATACATAAATATGTATGTGTGTAACTTATACTTAAGCAAGTAATAAAGTATATACAAAAGTACCGCTTTGTAAGCTATGATTTGAATCTCTGCACGTACCTGAAACTGACACGTCGCACCCATTTCTTGAACATGTCCACTCGCACTTCCGAAACCCCTTAACCCAATGCTTCTTAGGGCCCAACACAAGTCGACCTGGCGCGTGCAAATATTTGAGAAGTATTGTGCTTGCCAGTCAAGGAGCTATGAATGAGTAAGTGAGTGACTATGCATTCAACTGCTCGACTGCCAGACAGCCCGATTGTCTAACCGGCTGTTTGAACGAGGGTTGGCTGCTGCAGGATTTATTTAAGCATCAAATATGAGCACGAACTGCGAGGCTACGCATATATTTAACGTAATATGTTTGCTAGTGTGTGTGTGTGTGCGTGTATGCTTGACGGATTTACGCACTCATATCCTCTTCATGGGTGATGCGTGTGTAGAACTATGCGTTGTATTAGAATTTCTTATATGTGTATGTGTGTGCGTGTGAATGAATCTGTATCGGCCGGCAGTTAGGCAACGAGTAAATGACACTAAACAGCAGAGATATCTTGCATAATTTTAGGCGCCCGAACGTTTCGGCTCAATTAAGTTTATTGCTCACTCAAGTCCATTATATGCTGTACATATGTATTTATTTAGTACAACAACAAAGCATTCGGTTCAATGTACACAAACAATGAAACAAAAACAAACCAATAACCAAGTACGAAACTCGATGGAATTATGTCACAATAACGGTAAACGCAAAGTGTATAGGAACGCCGAGCAACGTCATCTGCGACAGATGCGTCATTTCTTTCCGTTTGAAAACATGCCAAAATTCACCGAGTCATTGCAATTTGCATATGCATACATACATACACATATACAGTATTTATCGAGTCTCATTTAACTCGCTATATTTCTTACACTTTACGGTACACCGCTATTGACAGCATTGACTTTGTGACCCGCTATAAAATCTAAACAAAAACAAATCCGAAATGCATTTTAGAAAAATTGATTGCTTTGAATTTAGTAAATATGTATATATGTATGTATGTATGCATGTATATATATTGTTTGTTTGTTTTCACTTTGCGTATTATTTGATTTACATATATATATAAATATTGGAAAGTAAATAGTCAACACTTGAGCACAGCCGAGGCTCAACTGACAGTCGTTAAAATACTAACTGCACAGTTGGCTCGTGTGAGAAGTTGCCGAGAGGTTACGAGTTGTAAAGCATACTTTTAGGAGCCAAGTGAAAACTGACGAAAAGAGCATGGGATTAACAATGAGAGCGAACAAAGAGAAGATGGAGAAAGAGAAAATTGCTGTGGAAGAGTTAATTTTGGGAGGAACCGAAATTTATATAAACGACCATTTCGATTGTTAGGTTTTGTACAGCTAATAAGGACTCACAACGGACTGGGGTTCGAAGTAAAATGCACTTAATAGGAGTGGTGGTCTTCGACATCACCATTGTTCGACTATAAAACGAATAGTTGGGTTATAAGATACAATCGTTTTTAAAATTCCTCACGATCATCTTATGAACAAAAGCCGAATCACAATTAGAGAAAGCGTTAATATGCATTAAGATAGGCATATCGATTAGATCGTGTCACGAAATTTTCTCCACGGTTCTGGGTATGATATGCGGGAGAGAAAAATTTGTTCCCAAATTGTTGAATTTTGAAACAAAACAGCGGAGAATGAAAGTTGCTCAGGAATCATGAAATGATGTCAACCTAGATATAGAATTACTGAAATGTATTATAACAGGTGACCAAACATACGTTTAAGGATATGACGTCGAAACTCAGGCTGAATTATAGAAGTGACTGCTTTCTGACTAGACAAGAAAGCCTCGAGAAATGTGTTCGAGCCTGTAGCCTTTGCATAATGTCTTTTGGAATCAAAGATTGCCCTCTTTAATATTCATCGATTCAGGCATGAAAAAATCATTTATCGAGGGTCTATAGCGTTCTCCATTAACTTTAACGTTATGACCGGCTTCATTTTTGAAGAAAAATGCACCAAAGACATCTACATCAAACATTGACTTTTTGAGGATGCAGTAGCGTCTGAACAAACTAAAAGTGAGCTTTATCAATGAAAAAATGTTTCTTATGATAATTGATGTTGGCGGCCAACTCGTTCTGAGCTTATTCACCGAACATGCGACGGACGCGCTTGATGGCCGTTCGGCTTCAATTCTTGCACTAGTTGGATTTCGAAAACCTGCAAAACAAGATTCTTCCGCAAAATTTTTCATCAAGTAAATGGACACAGCTTGAATAGCTGAGCGCCGGGGCGAATGGACTCGTTCGGGTCTTCTTCGATACGTCTTCGAGGTTCTGTATAATACACTAGAGTGTGTGTGTCGCGAAAACGATCAATGGGTGCTCGAATTACCAACTCTGCTGGGCGATTATGTGCGCCGAATATTGGACGCAGCGCCCAAAAAAGTTATAGCCTCTTTGAAAACCACACTTCTAAAAGAAAAATCATTCACAACCGTACGGTATAAATAGTTTGTTTGAATGTTAGGGGATTATAAAGAGTCTTAAGGTAGCCTGCTATTGAGATTTTATGCGAAGTTGACGAATATTTGAAAGTGTTTTCTTTTACTCCTTTGCTGTTTGTTTTTACTAATTAATATTCCTTATAAAAACCTTGCAAGTTTTTTTTTTTAAATTAGGCAGAAGACTTTAGTACTCAAAGTACCTCAAAGAGAGCGTTTATATTCTGATGAGCATAGCGGAGTGTTTAGAGCGCATGGCATTGGGGAGGATGTGCTCAATATGAAAACAAAACACGTTAAGGTTAATCATGGAAAGAATTGAAAACAAAAAAAAATCAAAACAAAATATTAAATTTTTATAAAAGCACCGCAAAGC